TTTTTTTTTTGTTTTTTTTTTTTTTTTTTTTTTTCTGTGGATACAGCATTTGAGGGGCAAGTTGAGCCGGGATGCCCTATCAGCTGTGTATGCTGGTCAGGTTGAGATCAGCCAAGCTCTGAGCCATGTGAAGCAAGTCTAGGCTGTGTGTGGGGTGGACTGATTTGGTGGAAGGGAAAGGTGCCTGGGGCAGAGCCCACCTTTCACCTGCGCTTGCTCTCCTGACAGCTGCTTGTGTTGTCCTTCACAGCCAAGAGCAAGAATTGAGCTAAAAGGCAGAGCCAGCCCTGCTTTCAGTGTATGCCTCCCCAAGCTGGCCGTCAGGTCGGGCTGTGCACTTGGCAGGGCTGAAACGGTCGCATTTTGCTAAATAAAACTCTGAAGGGAAACAAAAGAGTCTGTATGTTTTCTTTCAAGTTCCAAAGGGGCTACGATGTTACCCGCTGATCGCAGAGGCCTGACTGGGCAGAGAAGGTTGGGCCTATTTTCAGACGCTGTCTACGCATCTAATAGATCTCTCTCCCTGGCCAGACCCTGTGGCACTGCTGCGTTGAAGGCAGTTCCTGGGACCTTGGATCTCATGTCACTTGTTCAAACAAGAAATCAAGAAGTAGGATCTTCAACTCACTGCCTGCATAATGAAGCAGCAAACTGGACTAGTGCAAACACCAAGGCCTTGATGTGATTTACTGCGATCCTGTAGGCACGTCTAAGTGGGCTCCGCTCCTTTTTGTGTCAGCCTTCTGAACCCGAGCTGGGTCTCAGAACAGCCATAGCTTTCAGCATGCTCTGTGCTGTCTGGATGAATGTGCTGTGGGTGAATGCAGCGGTGTCTGGGGTCTGGTCCTCCTTGGGGAAGGAGGAGCGTGAACCCTACTTGGCTGTGAGTTTGGGTATCCTGGACAGGTAAAGGAGAGGTTTTGTATCACAAACTGGGAGCAATTCTAGGGCAAAGCACACAGCGTGGTCCTTCGTTAGAACTTAATAGGTAATTTCCACTGTCAAGAGGCTGCTCTTCCCTTGTGATGCACAAAAATTGGAAGAGGATGTTTGCTGGAGCCCTTGCCTGAGCAGGGAGGGAGTGAAACCAACCAGCTCCTCACCTGCTTGAAGGCAGCCCTCCATTCCCAGTGGACGTGAGACAGCACCTCAGGGTGCAAAGTAATTTAAAAGCATGGCTTTGCTGCAGGATCACATTCTCACAAAGATCTTTCCAGTGCAGCTCCCTGTCACGGTTCCTGACCTGTGCCTGTTCCTCTGCTGCCACTCGTGCCTGCTTGCTGCCAGCTCCCTTGTAGCTACCTTGGTGCTACATATTCTCCTTGTGCTGCAAGTGGCAGAGTTGATGTCCTGCTGCTGTAAAAAGATGCCACGGCTGGAACAATCTTCCATCAGCTCAAAGCTGTAGATCCCAAAGACTGCTAGCCCAAGACGATGATTCTGGGGGGACCTCTGGGTTATTGGTAACACTGAGCTGTTGCTGAAAAGATGGTGGTTTGCATCAGGGGTTGATAAATACTGCTGCTGCGTTGCTTGGAGCACTTTGGGCTCTGCGTGTGAGGAGAGCTTTAGGTAAGTGATTAAGGCATGAGATAGAAGACCAGAGAGAAAGAGCTGGCAGAGCCTGAGTGGGGGAGGTCTGTTTTTTCTCAGGTCCTGTTGTGTTACAGGTCCTTTAATGAAACTGGGAAGGAGGGATGGAAATATTAAATGTCTTTGGCAGTGTCCCCAGGGAGAGGCTGTGAAGGAACAGGAGTAACTGGGGGGTGGGAGGAGAGGTTCTTTATTGCACTGGGACTCGGGCAAGGCCCAGAGTAGGAACGAGGATATCAGCTGAGCAGGTGAACAAGTATCACTGGTGCAGGTGACGACCTCTGTGACAGCCCTTCCTGCAACACTGCTGCTGCCAGCCCTGCTAGTCCCTTTCTGCAGCCCATGTTGGTGGGTCCTGCACTCTTGCAGCTGCTTTTAGGTTCTTCCTGGCTGAGGTCTGGAGCAGAGCTGCAGCCCCATGGCAGTGCCAGCACTGGTGGGTAGAAGGATGCACCCTCACATCTCAGGTGACGGTGGGGAATGGGGAAGCTGCAAGTGGGGCTGGCGCACCGGCTCTGATGAGCTCTGCCAGTCAATGGTGCCTCCGTTGTTTTGGGAGGACTATGCAGGTGGGTCCTGGAGCCACCCAGCAGTGAGGCTCTAGCTGGGGATGCCACCCAGGCTCTAAGGAGTTTTCATGGTTTGAAAGCAGCCCTCATCAGGGGAGCTATGGTGGAGTCTGTGACCTGCTCGCTTCAAAGTAGGGTTTGTTTGGGTAGGAGCCGTTCAAATACGAACTGGAATGGGAGGATGTGCAGAAACCTAAGCACAGGGATGGCTGGTGCAGGGTAGAGACAGCAGCTGTTTGGAGGGCGGGTTGCTAAAGCAGCAGCACTGCTGGGGTTGTCCCAGTGCGTGGGGTGCTGTCTGTGCAGCGAGGTTTGTGATGGGCCACGTTTGTGCCTTCACAGAAGGGATGTGCTACTGCTACTCCTGAGCTGGCCAGCGGCCCCTGTCACCACTTTCCCCTCCGTGCCATGCAAATGAAGGCAGCTGCATTTCGGTTCCTGCGCTCTGCACAGCCGCCTGCGTTCTGCACGTCACGTTGCGCATGGCTGGCGGTAAGGAAGCCGTTGGGTGTCCTCCTCGTCACCCTATTTCATAGGCTATGCCCATTCAGGTCTAAGCATTGATGCTGTTTGCAGAGATACCAGTCGCCAGAGCATCCTTCTAACTGCACAGAGGACCGTGCACAACAGCGCAGGAGGGGAGTGGCTTCCAAGCACATCCCAGGCAGGTAACGGGTGTGAGGAGGGGGATCTTGTTTTCCAAATGTTACTGCCTTCAGCGATGGTGGCAGACAGAGGGAATTCCCGAGGGGAACTACCCAGCTTTCACATGGCTTCTGCTCATGGAGGATGGGGAGAGGGCTGCTGGCTGTGGCGCGCTTCCTTTGCACGCTGCAGCTCCCCACAACTCATAGAAGGATCATAAACGTCTGCATAAATCAGCAGATCAGGCAGTAAAGAGATCGACCGCCCTGCCGTCTCCCTGGGCCTGCAAAGATTCCTCCAAACGGCTCTGTTAACAACAGGACTCATTTTTATTAGAAAAGGCAAAATAAATACCGCGGAGCTATGCCAGAGAGCTGCCCCCCGTATCAGCCTCTTAGCAGCCACTGCCTACTGGGTCTTACAGTCGCCATCCCCATTGTTAGCTGCCTTTATCTTCTTCAGCTCCTTCTGCAGCTGCTCTTCTGCAGCCAGGATCTCCTTCGGCTTCTGGTACTGTAGGACAGAGGCAAATGCCCTTAGCACTCCTGTTCAGCCTCTGCTCCAAGCAGACCAACTGGGGCCAGGTGCTACCAGCGCAGCTGGGGCCCTCCTGCCAAGGGAGGCCTTTCTGTTACCAGCTACTTTTGAAGCCTGTTTGGAGAGGTGGTGCCATCACGCTAGGGACATTTGCCAAGATCTGGAGTGTCTTTTACAATGCAAGTAAAACTTTCCAGTAGGATGTGGAGTCCCGGCCCCTACCAACCCCTCTGGAATATCCTGGCAAGCTGAGTCATGCAGATCCCTGGTGTGCTCACTGATTGTACGCTCACACGTGTTGTATACATATACAATATGCATTTTTTAAAAGGCAGACAGAGAAGTAAGAGTTGCAGTTGCAGTTCCTCTGTCCTCCCCTCAGAGCCCCCTCGCCCAGCTGCAGTTTAGTGGTGGATGCAGGTGCTTTTTGGCAAGGGTTTGGCCTGTAGCAAACAGAAGCTCAGAAGGACTCAAAGTGCTCCTCTTGGCCTATTTTCTCTGCACGTGCACCCCCAGCTCTGCTGCAAGGTTTCCCTCGGAGGGGATGCTTGCTGGGTAGCTGACTTCTACATTTGAGAAGATGAGCACCCGCTGCTCAAAAGCATCTGCCTGCCTCTGTCTGCTCCTTGCAACAACAGGTAAGTGCCCATTTTGCTAGTCTCTCACTTCCACCGTGTGCGTGGAAGTGTGTACTCTCCATGTGTCCTCTCTGGCACAAACCAGCAGGTGATTTTTTTTTTTTAATCTATTTTTTTTTAATCTATTTTTTTTTTAAGACTGTGAGACCTCTAAGTGCAGGAGGTCCTTGGACTCTTAACACTTACAAGACAACACACTTACAAGGGAAACTTGCTGTCACCGAGAGTGGAGGCTTGCTCAGGCCTGAGGGAGGGGATACATGGAGAACAGGGCACAACAGACACTCTTCCACCTGCAAGTCACCTTGAGCAGCAAGCAGGGCCCCTCCTGCGGCCTGGGCTGTCCTGACTAGTGTCAGCATGCCCAGTGTAATCTGAAACTCCCGCTGACTGTGTGACAGAGAAGGGGGCTCATCAGTGACCCTCAGCGGATCTCCCTGCTCTGCCTCATTGCCCCACGTGTAAGAATTTTAACTTCTTTGTGGACATAAAGAGAAGGGCAAAGTGCTGTTCTGCGTGGCTAAAACCTCACCGT